AAACTTTTAAAGCCTGTGATATCTTGATTGCTAACTCTTCTCTTATTAGTAATCTTACTGGACAGCTTCTATACCAAAATTTGGGAAAATCTGAACTGCTGTTCTTTTAATGTTGTCATAGAATGCAATCTTTATGGGCTTATATGTTGGTGAAACCAAGGGTTCACTTAAAAGAATATCGGGGCGTACATTTCAAATTTACAATGGTGGCCAGCGGCTTTTATTCAAGCACTTTAATTTACCTGATCATTCTATTTTTTCAATGAAAGTAATTAGAATTCAAGAAAAGATTTACTATCATACTTATAGCCCATCATTGACTACACCTTTCCGTAGATAACGAGAAGAACCTTATCTTAATTCTCCCTCTGCCAGAAGGCACACAAGGCCTGAACATCTCTCTTCCACAGGGGCCGGTCTGAGGCTGCACGGGGTGCCGTGTTCCAACTTCCAGCCTGCATCATTCCGCTCCACCTCCACCATTCCCCGCTATGTTGTCATTGGCGACTTCGCTTCCTTCTCTCAGGCGTCCACCCGAGGACCACAACAAAGTCTGTGGATCCTTTCTCAGCACATGACCGATCCAATTCCATCTCCTCCTCCTCACCTCGCCACTGATGTTTCTACTCCTGCCATCTCCAGAACTGTCTTGTTTGGGATATGCTGCTGCCATTTGACCTGAGAATCCTGTTAATCCTCTTTTCCTCTGTCTTGGTAAGTTCCAAGTTCCAAAATCGGATTTAAAAAAAAACTAGGCACGGCCTTTTTATACGGATGCAATGACAATGTCGATTGTGTTGGGAATTTTTCCAGTCCACAGTGTAAGCAATATGAATGTAATTGGATTTTTTAACAACACACAGAGACGTAAGCGTAGAACTTCATGGAAATTGGTCTTAGATTAAACCTATTATACACAAGTATTAGCTTTCCTAAAAAGCTTGTCTGACTTGAGCAAATTTATTTTTACGTGAAGAATCAAGAAAAGTTAAATCCAGTGTAATCAACATGACTCTGAGTCATGAAATGAATTCTTTGCTACGAAACAAAAAAAGTTCAATTCAGCGGATTCAGATTCTTTCCTTGAAAGTGTCCACCCTGAACCGAAAATTTCTGAAGTTTCTTCCAACAGGCCTGTTCATGGATACAAAGATATAACCAGTGCTTCTAAACATCATTCTGTGAACAATTTTGATAATTAAGAAATGTTTTATAAAAAAAAAAAATAAACGTGTTATAAATGAACTAACATTTTTGCATTTAAGCAAAAGAACATTCAACACGTGTCTTTCACTTTTATATTTTTTTTAACTATGAAGAAATCAAACGTCTGCAAGTTATCAATATGTGTAGATTTATAAAAACTCTGAAGGTAGAGAGACTTAGTATGCATTGAATATTTATAAACATTCATTAGTTAATCTGATACAGATAATCGACAAATGTTGATCTGACCAGCTTCATTCCTTCTGTTTTGCTGGACATGAATGATGCATTTGAGAATGGCCAAATGTTATATAACCTGTAATGTATAATGTGATAATAATGACACCAGCTATAATGCTCTGGCTTGTTTGGGTATTTAGCATGTTTTCTTTACTCGTCATGCTCTCAAAATTGATAGTGAAGATAGTATGAAGTTTCCAAGATCAAGTTATCACAAGAATTCTATTGAACGACTTGACCAACAAACCTTGGCTAAATCTAATACTGTCTGACGCCATGACGTCAGACAACAATGTTTCGTTTGATTCACTACTACATTACGTAAATAATCTGTCAGGTCTTCAGAACATTCGCACCAAACTTTACTCTGTCCCTTTGAAACTTTTAAATAGTCTATTTGAAAAAGTCAAGGAAAGTCCATATTTAGATTCCTCGACACCAGAATACAGGCTCGGATCTGTGATTATGAATATTGCAAATCATAGGCTATTAAAACCACCATGTACTGCTAAAACAACCCGTTTTCTCCTTCAACTTCAATATGCCAACAAAGGGTTGATTGATTATATGTTGTTTTATGTCCCAATTTTTCACTCATATAGAGACGTCACCAAAAACCGGTGAAGGGCTTCAAATTTAGACCTTTACTCGGCACTCAGGGCCATTGAGCAGTGACGGATTTTTATCGTGCCAACGCCTGCCGTGACACGGGGCCTCATCCGAAAGACCCGCAACTTACACTTAAAAGTAGGCGCATGGCGAAGGAAATGTTGCTACCTATTTATTATCGACTTAGGTCAGTCGCGGTCGAAGTTCGAACCCCGGACCTTCCGATCACGGAGCGAGCGCTCTACCAACTGAGCTACCGTGACGGTGCCAACAAAGGAATTGATGCGGTTAATATGAGTAATATTCTTAATCATAAAAGGGTCCAGACTTGTATTCTACCTTATTTCAAGTTGAAGTCAACACCTTGTATTTCTTACAAATATACATCGACTATTGCGTCTAAATTTTTTAATTACAAGAATACTATACAGGGCATAATTCTCCAACGTGTTCATGGTCTTCTTCACACTACAACTATAGTCCTCCTGGACACGTCATCATTGGTGACGTAAATATAGTTCATAATGAGGACCTTAAATCATTTATTTTCAAAGAGCCTTAATTTAGGGAATCCCGATCTTTCAACTGGTGTCCAAATTTCATAAATATTTCAAAAATATATAAATTCATAAATATTATGAATTCTGTGGAAGATTACACCAGGTGATGGACCAAACATGGAAAAGAAGACATTGACAATTTGTCAAAATTAATTAATTGTATCAGATGGATCATTCATCAAGCGATTGAGGGCCAATATGAAAACCATTTATACTTCTGTGTTCAATAATTATTAATGACTTAGCTAAGGAAGTCAATTCTCTCAATAAAGGTGTTAGATAGACACTACTGTCTTCAGCATTCTCCTTTACGCAGATGACATTGCACTCATTGCTGGCGATGAAAAGGATATTCGATATGCAGGAATTTCTAAATGTTGTCTCGACGTGGTTTAAGAAGTGTTACTTAACGATAAAGCCTGAAAAATCTAAAGTTGTTGCATTTTCGATAAAGGAACCTTATGCAGAGTAACTACAAATTCTACCTCGGAAACATTATTCTGGAGTATGCTTCTTTCTATAAATATTTAGGTGTTATATTGATGATAATAGGGGCTTCAAGACAAACATAGAAAATCTCGCAAAATTAGGAGGCTGTGCTTTAGGGGCAATGATATTAAAGATCCATCATCTTAAACACTTTGGTTTCAACACATCTGAAACGCTTTTTCATTACTGTGTCTCTCTCGTAATCGACTATTTCAGCGGTGTGTGGGGATATAAAACATCGCACAAAATTGATATGGTACAGGATAGGGCTCGATCAACGATACTTTCTCGGGGTTCACCGGTTAACACCCCTCTTAGCTGTACGTGGTGAGTGTTGATGGTCAGCGGCCAGTCTACGAAACAAAAACTAACATGGTGCGTCTATGGAATAAATTAATCCTAATGGTCTTGTAGAGTAGACTTTCCCCTCTACCCCTCTAAAATACCCCCCCCCCCCGGGAAAACTGTCTCTAGAGTAGGATTTCCCCGACGGAAAAATGACTCTAGAGTAGGATTTCCCCCACGAAAATCCCACACCAGATTCAATTTTGGCTCTGGTGTGAGATTTCCCCTCGGGAGAAAATCTTACTCTAGAGTACGATTTCCGAGGGGAAAGCTGGCTATGGGGAAAATTTCTACGGCTATTTCTAAATTCGAGAAGTGGTGTAAATCAGAAACGGATACTTAAAAATTCCAATTAAGGAACTTTTAAAAAATTCGAAATCACGCCAAAATCAATAATAATAAACCGTCCGACTTCCAACACTTTAAACAGCCATTCCCCACGATATTAAAGTCCAGGCTTTTTGACATAATAGACAGCTGCTTTTTCAATAAAAATGGAACTCGTAAATTTACCTACCTTGCCATTGCTCATTTGCTACATTTCTTTGCTAAAAAAAACCCATTCTTATTGTACACACAAACACTCTGAAGTTGACATTAAAAAGATGCTTGAGTTTCTGATTGTCAATATCTGTGTAGTTTTAAGAGACCAGTCTCCGGGGCCATAAAACTTAGATGAGCTCACTTTTGATCTCAGTCTTACTTTTCCGTAATTAATTCCTTTTGTAAAAGTGAGATTGAGATCAAAAGTGAGCTCGTCTAAGTTTTATGGCCCCGGAGTCAGGTCTTCAAACAATCTCTCGAAATTCCTATAGGTACCGATTGCGCCCCGTTATAAGCAGACCTATCTTTGTATTCATATGAAGCAGAATTTATTAAAAATAATTTTTTTTAAATATTATATATGAGAGGAAGAAAACACTTGCTGTGGCCTTCAACTCGACATTTAGATATATCGACGACGTATTATCAATCAACAATAGTTACTTCCATTCATACAATATGTATGTCGACTCGATATATCCCAGTGAGCTTAAATAAGATACCACAGAGTTTGACACATCTGTTTCATATTTGGATATTTTACTAGAGAAAGACGTTTATGGTAACCTAACAACAAAACTTTATGATAAACATGATGACTTCAACTTTTCAATCGTCAGCGTCCCTTACTTTTGTAGCAATATACCCTTATCACCTGCATATGGGGTTTATGCCTCTCAGTTGATTCGATACGCAAGAGCGTACTATTACTATAATAAGATAATAAATATACGCCAATAAAAATACTGCACTGTACTAAAAAATCTGTAAAAATGTAAAGTATTTACAGAAATCCAAATTCTTTAGAGGCAATAAACTACCAAAAAAAAACTACAAGCTGTAACAATCGTTTCCAGCATGACTTTTATTGATATAAAATTTAATTGATTTAATTAATATATAGAGTGGTTTTTGCTGATTTCGTATTAATCCCCCTCCCCACCCATTTTTTCATCGATACGATGATTCGATATATTCTTTTGAACTCGAAATAAAAAAAACACCACACACTTGAAATGATTTTATTCAAGTAAAGCAACGAAATGAAAGGAAAAGTTAAGTCCATAATTAATGTACACGTGACAAAATAAGGTACATTTATTAAAGCTTCAACATTATTAATTACACTAGCGCACTTTGCAGCATTTCCAGCCTCCACATACGTCCGAGGATCGCCAATCTTCGTACTCGTTTGATCGACATTGTGGTCTACACCAACCATCTTTATACCAGCCGCCACAAGTATGACTACGGGAATCTAGGAAATATATATATATATATATATAGAGAGAGAGAGAGAGAGAGAGAGAGAGAAATCTATACATTACTTAATCGCTTGGCTGTTGTAAATAACAATGCAATAACTTCAAAATATAACCAGAATAAGAGCAAAAACAAATATGAAACATCTGACTTACCACTTGAAGTCGTTGCTGTACTTTTTGCTTTATTGAGAAACATAATAATGTTGATAAGAAATATAACAGAGGTTTGAAAACTTAAATAAATATTTAATTGACAAAATTTCTACATAACTTTTATAAAAGGCAAATATCAAGTCATATATTAACAAATAAAGTTGTAAAACAAATACTATACTAGTAACCAAGGGCTTGTCTTAAAATTTTCAACTATGTAAGTATGTCTCATTAAACTGTCATTTCAAAAATCAAATAAACGAAGACATAAGAGTTTTCTTCGTATATTTTTGAGTCAAAAAATATCTCGAAAGTATACATGTCTTCAAGGGTTTTTTCTACAACAATGTGATAGTAGTGCATATTTTGCATTATCTTTGTGTAGCATTTTTGTAGCTCTGTGACCTTGCATGATTTCTGTTTCTGATACAATAAGTGTGATGAGAAAAATTCACAAGTTACAATCAAGCAATTTATAATGCATTATTTAATATTAAAATTAAAATGATTTGATATTTGCAATATATATATATATATATATATATATATATATATATATATATATATATATATATATATATATATATATATATATATATATATATATATATATATATATATAAGGATTTGGACAAATGAATAACTACCTTTCTTTATAGCATATCTAGTTACTTGGTAGATGCCATAAGCTGCCACCAGCGCTAGGAATAGCGGAGCAGACACAGTCATTCCAGCATAAGACGCTATTGGTAAAAGAGCCTGGGCCTGTCGTTTGTTTCTGGATTCTTCATGTTCTGGTCTGCTGGCTAGAATTGGACCAGGGGCAGTCAATAGTATAATGTATAAAACACACAGGAACGTTTTCTTTTCCATGGTGGCCTGTCTGCAGATTTACTGAACAAATAAAAAAGCGCAGTTATTAAATATTTTAATTGTTTGATTCGTTATTTCCCTTCGAATTTTCGTGATGAAACGCAGTGTACTTTTCAAAGATAATAATATTTCATATATTTACTTTTGTTTTCTTTTCTTTTTTCACAGAGAACAAAAACTTATATCTACTAACTTTGAAAATCTAAGTTTGAAATTTATTTATCTCCCTTTTTATGTTATCGTGTGTTTATCCTGTTGCAAAATTAACAGAATTAAAAAAAAAATTTAAAAAGCCCCCCTTGTCTCATTTGACACTTCTGGAAATGTACCTAAATTTGTTCTTTCCAATAGGAACCATTTCCCAAAATTTTGAATTGAAACTATACACAAATTTTTGCTTCATACTTAAAACAAAGCTCTGGAAGAATTTCTATCTTTGGACCAATCCTTTTCAAAATCTTATCAATTTTTAGACGAATAGATAGAATTTCATTGAAATTTGGTACTTTTCAAAAATATCTTCCTATCTTCCTACCTTTTCTCATATCCCCTACAAATTCATAATTAATTTTCCTGATTTTAATGAGAAAAAAAGAACAGGGATATTTAGAAGGGGTCGCCAAAAAGTTCCTGGACTGACAACGCAATAATGATATGTAAGTGATAAAACTGTAATACGAGATAGAGAAAAATCGTGCTATGCATAAACAGAACTCCCGATGTATAGGAAGATGCTATAATAAATCAAGTTATATTTGTTGTGTTCAAAATTTTGCAACAACAACTGAAACAAAATTCGAAAGAGGCAGTTTCATATATATTGAATATTACTTTAGAAAAATAATGCAGTATTCATGTATATTGAGAATACCCTCTGTAAAACAATTTATTTAACGAGGCCGAGTCTAATTATTTCCACCCTAGATATTTTGATAAATTTTCTTGAATGAATTTTTACTATTATATTAATTATTTTAAGATAAAAAAAAATCAAATGTTTACCATCCCGATTTCTTAGGGGGCCATCTCAAAAGTTGTCAAATTTTACTATTGAACCCTATGGGAATTTGTTGGAAAAGCGCCAACTTATCACATTTTTCCATGTTTTTTGTAGTTCTGCCCTAGGTATTTCCTTTTCAGTCAAATACATGAAAGTTATTGTAAAAAGTCACCAAATTGTGAAATTTCAAAAAAGTTGACCATCTGGTTTGATCTAGGTATTATTAAAAAGTTTAATTTTTGCAATGCCCAATACCTCTAAATTTGCCATATTGAGGCATACATATTGTATATAACGGCGCAGATAAATTATTTTGGTAAAAAATAACAATGTTTAGATTGCTGGTATGTTTCTTTTGATGTTCTGTCAACAGTTTTTAATAAAATGTCCATGGACGTCTTGAAAACTCAAGCGAGTCATGCGTCATTCTATAGCGTCATGCATTGCTTAGAGAATCGGAAAACAATGATGTCGTGAAAGCCATTTCAGCGTTTCTTCCTAATCATTGTCTTAAAATCACATTTTAAGACAGACCCATAAACGTTACAGATGATGTAATATAATGTTAATTATGTATCAAAATTACAATACTTGGATAAGTGTTATGTTGCACCTACGAATGCATGAAACTAAAAAGCTGCTCAAAGTCATGCGCACTCGAATAAGACTCGGCATCGTTAAATTGCCCTTTTCCTATTTTTCATTTCATTACGATTAACTTTAATTTAGGATTCAGTTTCAAAAAAACCCAGCACGAACACATCCGTTTCAGAAACTATTGTATTAACAATGAATAACCATATCAGATAAAATTTTCTATTAACTTAAAAAGATTCAGAGGTTTGCTTTTTTAGTCTAAAGCAGAATTGCAGCATTTTGTTCGGATAAATTAACAATTTTTTCCTTACAAAACTGTTGTTTGTATTTACTAGGAAAATTATGTTGCGATTTATCAATTCAGTTTTTAGCAAATACTAACATTTTAACTGAATAGATATTAAATATAGTAGATAATAATAAGAATGATGATAATAATAATGTTGATTAGTAATAGTAAAAGAAAAGCATACCCTAAAACTTGATTTCTGCAAAGTTTCACCTGAAAACGTTCATGACACTTCAGCACAGCTGCTTTAAATACAGTGCGTCACGTGCCACAGGTAGCTGAGTTTTTTTGTAACTGATGTAGTATTATGCAATTAATATCAAGTTGCACCATATTGTAATACATCAACCGATATGTATTTTTTAAAACTCAAAACTCATACATCAGTATTAAACTCATAAACATTTGGAACAGACAGGATTGTCGAAGTGAAAATTTAAAATTACTTATTTTGAAATAAAAGTTCTTTTTAAGGACATACGCAACGTACCTTACCTATTGATAAATTTTCAAGATATTCTGAATTTAATATTATAGTGCCATCAGATATTCGTAGACGAAAAATCAGCATGCATTACCAGGGGTTTTGAAAAGATATCAATTGATGAAAATTCTTGTATAATTCAAAGAAAAATAAACAAAAATTACTAAACATATATTCTAGATGTTTTGTTTATCCAAACATGTTTTAAAAGAAGTGTACAACAGCACATATAGACATTAAAATGTAGCACACAGTTCCTTTAAGTATTGGAACTCTTCAACTCCAGGGAAAAAGACAATAAAGTTCAAACTACGTTGCGTATGTCCTTAAGCAATCATTAAAATCTACTCATTGTAACCACTTTGACTTGATTAATTTTTGCACTTGCTCTCTTTAAACAGTTTTTTATAATATCAAACAAACCTGCAAAATCCGATCGGTAACGTATCATTTTACAGCATTTTTGTACTGTGCGATAATTGAAAATGATGTATAGCCATGGGAATTTCCTAAATGTTATAAAGTTCAGCAGTTGTAAACAACGGAATCTTAACAGACATGTATATCTTAAATATTTGTGCAATTTATTAGCATAATCTCTTTGATGTTTCACGTCCAGATTCAGTGTATGCTGATAATTAAACCTTCTGAGCTGAGTGTCTAAGAAAGCTAATGTTAACGTAAACTTGTCATCGAATTACTGGCCAATTCATCAGACTGGTTAAAGTTTACATTAATCATGTTAATTTTAGAACATATAAGCATATTGGATAATCAAAGGTAAAATTCTCCCCTATTCATGTATTGTGATTGTCTACTCCAACTGGTTATGTTATCGATACGGGAATAGCTGAGTGTAAATGCAAGTATCACACTTGTTTTAATGTGGAAACAAAATTAGAATGGAATGATTCATGGGTTCAGGCCCTTACCATGCACATCTATAAATTCCGTCTTTTAGTTTTAGTTTTTTATTTAATAATTTCGTTTTCTTTATTTAATAATTTCGTTTTTTCTTTATTAATTTTTGGTTTGCACTATTGGGCTTCCGTACATTTGGTATTGACAGTATATCAGTGTTTATGGTACTGAAATTTTTAAGGTTACTTGGATTGTATTATTGTGTAGTCTAATAGGACCAATACAACTTTTTTGACTTTGCAAGTAAAACGAATTTTTAACAAAATATTGAAAGTATTTTAAGATAAAGTTTGTACGGATAATGTGTAAACGGAATTTTTTTTAATTAGCTATAGATACTTTACAATCATATATTCGTATGAGCAGCATCCCCTTCCAAACAATCACGCACACCCAACTACATGTCCCCAGGCCATGAAAATCCTATTTTTATTTAAAATTAGTTATTTATTTATTATTTAAAATATAAATCATTCTTCTAATAATATCTACACAAAATGAATAGGTTTTGTGCATGGTATTTTATTTATAAAAACGAAGAAAAATATAGTTTTACAGATGGTTCCAGGAGACCCAACAACACAAATGAAAAGGTCAATTATAAATGTCTTCCTGCATTCCAGTAAATATGACGATGGGTTTCTTTGAACATTCTAACTTGAAAAGGTGCAAATATTTAACCACAAGTGTCGTAGCAAATATTTATAAGTAGTAGCATATATTTATGCTATACTGGTGGATCATAGACAGGGTAGAAGTTTTAAGACCCTCCAACTTTAATGATAGTATCGATAAATTTAAGCAGGCTCAGATTATTTCATATATCATTACAGCACCACTTGCCCTATCAAGTAGATTTTTAATATCCAAACGACGATTATCATACCATAGGTATTTTCAGTGATTTTTATTTTTTTCCCCCCTGAATTTGGTTAAATGTTTTAATTTCAAATGTTTTGTTTTAAGCTTGTTATCGATAAAATTACAGAAATCGTATCAATGCAATGGTGATAAAATTCTTACAAAAATAAAATGTCAACATGATATGTCACAGACGTAGTTTTGACGTCATAATTAAGGTGCACTTACGTAAATATTATATGTATCTTAAAACATTACAAGCTTTTATCCCAAAACTTACAATTATCGCTGAAATGCATGAAACGTAAAAAATGATAATTAATCTTAGAATAATTCAAAATTCTGTGTATTAATATGTGGAAGCAAGAGAAGAAATAATGTACACACACTGTACCAGCATTCAGAATTTTTCCTTAATACACTGTACTCATCAGGCGCAGTTCGAATTTTAGGAGAAACACACACAAACACACACATAAATTTGCATAAAGATTTCAAATTTGAATTTCTCGAGAATGAAATGTGTCACATACTATATATTTACATTTGCAAATGTTTTCTTTTATATAACAATATTGAAAGCAATGCGTATCTATATCCGTATAAACACGGGTTCCTCGCGTCATAAACGTTCGACGTAATTTCTCAGTGACGTCACAAAGGGTCGACGCGCAGTCAGAGGATCAAACACGTGCCGTTGGGTTTGAAAAATAAAACGTTTCACGCGTTAAAGATTATAATCAGGCAAATATAAAATATGAATAAGTCACAAATGTAAATATAAGTAATAAGGTATCATTTTTAAACATCTTCGGGCTTTATGGAATTTGATCTCTTGACCAACCCGTATTTATATCCCGATAGATGTTTAAAAATGATACCTTATTTCTTAAATGATGCGTATAAACCGTACTCCATGAGGGGCATTGGAAGGTCTTTTAAATCAGTTTGTCGAATTGGGTTAGGAATGGGGAGCTGCGGGGGTTGCTTTGACTTGAATTGCAGATTTTCACCAGCATATTAATAAGTATTTTTGTCATTTAATTAAGAAATAAGGTACCATTTTTAAACATCTATCGGGATATAAATACGGGTTGGTCACGAGATCAAATTCCATAAAGCCCGAGGGGCTTTATGGTAAATTTGATCTCGTACCAACCCGTATTTATAGCCCGATAGATGTTTTAAAATGATACCTTATTACTTATATTTACATTTGTGACTTACTCATGGTTTATATTTGCCTGATTATAATCTTCAACGCGTGAAACGTTTTATTTTTCAAACCCAACGGCACGTGTTTGATCCTCTGATTCAGCGTCGACCCTTTATGACGTCACTGAGAAATTACGTCGAACGTTTATGACGCGAGGAACCCATGTTTATACGGATATAGATATGCGTTGCTTTTAATAGTGTTATATAAAAGATGACATTTGCAAATGTAAATATTTGATAGCATCGTTTGAAATAAAAGAAAATTGTATTTTATTACAAATGTATGTTACCGTGAACGAAAATTTATTTTTGCATAAAAAATTCAAAATAGCCGACGTTGTCAAGGAAACAGAGGAAGCTACGTGATCGGGGTGAAATACGCTATTGCTTCCAATTACATATTTTCGTGCACACAATTTTTTTTGCATATTTCTTATCGAAAAGCCCCACTCTAACTCCAGAACCTCTTGCACTGGGGCAAACAATTTTAAAACTTTGGTGAGCAACTTATTGCTTTATATAAGCATGCCAACAATTTGACCCCTTGATGCCAAGGCCTAAGACTGAAGAGGAACATTTTTGAAAATTGTATTGATTTTGGTTCTTTTTGTCCCATCTCTCAGGCCCCAGGGGGACCAGGAGATTTAAAAATTAAGTTCTTCTTTACTCATTGAGGCTATATGCCAAAATTGGTTAAAACTGATTCAGCGCTAACAGAGGAGAAGTAAAAATTTTCAAATCAAATCACGAGACACAATAAACGACCCACAACGAAAGACGACAGACAAAAAAATTAGCAATTGTCACCTAATTGGAAATCAGTTACAAATGGACAAAAATTGTATGTCAAAGAATAAAATGTGACAAAAATAAATTTCAAAAATTTTTTAACGTAATGAAAATTTCAATCTAAAAAAATTGATATTTAAAGTACTTTGAAAGAATTACCTAACCTAAATCTTTTGAACATCTAAAATTCAGAATAAGGTTTGAATTTTCTAAAATATATTTTTTAAAAATATATAGAAAAATACATAGATGAAATATATGGAGATAACGAACAGTATTCAAGCTCAAAAGTCCATTAAACAATACAAAATAGAAGCAGAGCAAACACGGGCCTCTAAAACATCAGAGGTGGGATCAGGTACCATGGAAGAGTGAGCATCCCCTGCCGACCGGTCACACCCGCCGTGTGCTCCTTGTCATGATCGGGAAATAACGGAAAAATCCGTCGACAATTCAGTGTGTAAATAATGGCCTAACAATTAGTATGAAAAACGTCAGTCAGCATTTGACTCAATGATAAATTGTATTTGCTGACAAGGTCATTGTATCGACCATAGAACTTACGAAATGATGACTTTAAACGAGACTGCTGGTATTCTTTTTTCATCAACTTGTTTATCAATAATTTACCACGTTTTAGAAATTGTACATACGTAGAGCATGCTCTTGCGTATCGAATCAACTGAGAGATATAAACCCCGTATGCATGTGATGAAGGTATATTGCTGCATAAGTAAGGGAAGTTGACGAAGTCATCACGTTTATCATAAATCTTCGTTGTTAGATTACCATTAACGTCTTTTTCAAGTAAAATATCCAAATATGAAACAGATGTGTCAGACTCTGTGGTATTTTTTATCTCAAACTCACCGGGATATATCGTATCGACATAAGAATGGAAATAACCAATGTTAATTGAAAATACGTCGTCGATATATCTAAATGTCGAGCTGAAGGCCACAGCAAGTGTTTTCTTTTCATGTATAAGATTTTGGACAAATTCTGCTTCATAGGAATACAAAAAAGGGTCTGCTAATAACGGGGCGCAATTGGTACCCATGGGAATTCCAATAGATTGTTTGAAGACCTGGTCTCCAAAAACTACATAGATATTGTCAATCAGAAACTCAAGCATCTTTTTAATGTCAACTTCAGAGTACTTCAATGTGAAAAAATTTCGAGAATATTCGAGAAAAAAATCTCTGAAATTGATATGCACTAATGTTACATTTAAAAAAAGTAGTTAAGAAATCTCTAGCAAGAATTCAGTTCAATAATAATAGCAAGTACATGTATTAAATAAATATAGGTTTCCCCGCAAAAAGTTGACATCGCACTTAACTGCTTTGACATCTGGAACTGAAGTCGAATCCCCATTGATTTTCAAGGGTTATTTGTCAGTAAATGCTGCTTCGTTTGTGTTAATAAGTAGTCTCCTATTTGGTACCATGTGCAAAAATAAACGTATCCCATGTGTTGTTAAAAGGTATATAAAAACTGCAAATCCTGCCCATTCACAAACACCTGGACGGACAAATTTCTTTTTAATTGGTTAAACATATAAAGTATATTTTGTATTCGTGACATAATTTTTCAATAAAACAAAGGAAATTTTTATCTAGATTCAGTTTATTGATAATTATCATTGTCTTTTAGGACTCGTTAACAATATGGATAAGAAGACCTCGCTATGTCTGTTTTATATTGCTCTCTTGGTTCTTCCTGCCCCAATCCTTGCTGAAGTTAAAGCTGAGAAAGAACGAGACAGGCGTCAAGCCATAGCTTTACCACTGGCCTCTCTAGCGGGAACATCAGTAGCAGCCCCTGTGTTTGCAGCCCTTCTCGCTATTTATGGTGCTTATACATTAGCAAAATATGGAATACGTGTGCTCTCAGGTATTTTTCTTCATTTAATTATAGCTATCAATAAGGATTTTAAATGGTATGATAAAGCATATCAGTCAGGGAGTTGACATAATTTTTGGTAAGCAAAATCAGGTCTGAAGTCTATAAAATGAAAACATATTTTTAAATTAAAATAACATTTGGAATAATTTTGAAAATAAAGCAAAATTTTCATCATGTCCTGCATCTGAATTTTAAATTAACTTTTCAATATTTTTGCTTAATAAAAATTAAAAAAAAAAAAATTGGATAAGCTCGTCCCCGTTTATGATCGTGTGTCATATCTATTTTTGAGTCAAAGAAGAAGTATGATTGAATAATTTAAAATATTTCCAACAAATTATGCTATATATATATATATATATATATATATATATATATATATATATATATATATATATATATATATATATATATATATATATATCAACTTGTAGATAAAGACAGCCACCCGTGTGGTAGAGGTTACTGCAGAAAAACATGCCAAAAACATGAGAGAATTGACTGGGGTCTGACAACAGGCTGTGGTAACTATTATTGCTGTGTGTAGAAGATCAGAGCCACTGCCTATTGATCAGTGTCAACCACCTTAATAATTGTTATTCCAATAAAGAACATATAAATCAAATTCTTCTGTTTTCATATAATACCATTCCAGGCTTTAGATAATACATATGCACCCAGTTTTTTCAAACTGTTCAATATGGGATATTTCTATCTCTATATAAGTCAACACTTTTAATAATGCTGCAGTAATTTATCATGTTCCATATAAAAAAATTTTGATAAGTAGTACATTTTTTTGTACATTATACAAAAAATATTATAAAGACACAAAATTCTTCTAGATGGACGCACTTTTTACACACACAGATAAGACTGTGATATCCTAACTTAAAAACCAAGGCTTCATTATGTTTTCTAGAATGAATTTAATATGTATGACATTAACTATTGTTTTCATATATACCAAGTATATTTTTAATTTTATATTGTGATAATAAATTATTGCTCTTTTTATTCACTGTGTATATTTTCTTCATATCATGATTAGACATAATGTGTAATGAAATAATTTTAAGTGGAGATAACGAACAGTATTCGAGCTCAAAAGTCCATTAAGCAACGCTTCATACTTTATATTTTCCATTTGAATCTAATGCTATTGTTGTTGATAAAAATCAATGTTGGGAATTTTAAAAAATTGTGAAATTTAGAGCAGAGAGATATTACACCTTAAGATTAATTAAACATTTACAAGTAGTCAAAGTGAAAAACATTAATTTTGTTTTTAAGTATCCTGTTCTTTGTTCTCGTTAGATGGAGGGAAGATACCTCTGAAATTAACATATATTTATCTTATATTCATATGAAAAACCAGTCTTGGTAGCCAAGTGGTATTGTGTTCGCTTCGTGATCGGGAGGCTGGGGTTCGATTCTCGCTCGCCCCGCCGCGTCAAACCGAAGAATTAAACATAGGTAGTGACTGTTCCTTCTGGTCAAACCTAAGAAGTAAACATAGGTAGTGAATGTTCCTTCGCCAAACACCCGGCACTAGAAGTGAAAGTCTTACGGGTCTTACGGATGAGACCTTAAAAACCGAGGTCACTTGTCACGGTAGGTGTTGGCACGATAAAGAACCCTCACTGTTCAATGGCCCGAAGTGCCGAGTATAGGTCTAAATTTTGAAGCCCTTCACCAGTATATGGTGACGTGACGTATCAATATGAGTGAACAATTCTCGAACTGGACGTAAAACAATATACAATCAATCAATCATATGGTATCATTACATGGACACGTTTACATTCATTTGTAAGATACTTGTTTGGATCTTAATCAACTCTCTTTCTCCATGGGGACTTTTAGCTCTTAAAAATTCAAATGCGAATCCTGTCTTTTTTTATTATACAATGTAATATATGCATCCTCTTTTTTCACACATTTTGGTCGCCTGGTCAATTAATTACTCTTTTTAGATATTAACGAGGCCGAGTCTAATTCGAGTGCGCATGACTTTGCCCAGCTTATTAATTCCATGCAGTCGTTAGTACGACATTATACTTTTCCTAGTTTTTGCATGTGATTTTAATACAAAATTAACAGTATTTATAACATCTATGGGTCTGAAAATGTGTTTTCAAGACAATGTTCAGGAATAAACGCTGAAATGGCTCTAACGACATCACAGTTATCCGGTTTTGTAAGCAGTGCATGACGCTGAAGAATGGGACATGGCTCGCTTGAGTATTCAAGACGTCTATGGACATTTTACTTACAAATGTTGACAGAACATAAAAAGAAACATATCAGCAATCCAAATATTGTTATTTTTCTATCAAAATAATTCATCTGCGCAGATATATACACATTGTATCGCAATATGGCAAATTTAAAGGTATTGGGCATTGAAAAAAAATTAAACTTTGTAATACATGTAATTCCGACCCAGACGGTCAACTTTTTTGAAATTTCACAATTTGGTGACTTTTTTCATATATTTGACTAAAAAAGAAATCTCTAGGGCAGAAATACTAAAAATATGGGGAAATTGTGATAATTTGGCGCTTTTCCAACAAATTCCCATAGGGTCCAATAATAAAATTTGACAACTTTTGAGATGACCCTCGAAGAAATCGGGATGGTAAACATTCGATTATTTTATCTTAAAACAATTAATATAATATTAAAAATTCATACAAGAAAATTTATCAAAATATCTAGAGTAGAAATAATTAGACTCGGCCTCGTTAAAATCAACTTTATTCGTCCTAATATGACAAACATTTTTTAGCAAACTATTCTATTTTCATATCAGATTGAAACACACAACAACACAATTTATTACGTTCTTGAATGCGCATACAGTAACTCTGCAGAAAAAAGATTACTTTCTTTTTTTCTTACTTTGTATGACTTACTCAAACTGACCGGTGTAAAGACTTTTCTACCTTTGCAACCTATAAGAAACTGATTCCCGTTGAAAAATGATCTCCATCCCACAGAGTGGTAAAAAGTTTAATAGGTGATTGATGACAAGGTTTGGGTCTCAATGTTTAATTTTCTTGCGTTTTTCTAACAAACACAATTGTGCAAAAATGCAATTAAAATGTAATATAACAACATGAAATGTGTTTAGATCTATTATAAATATTTGGATATTTTATTTGAGAAAGACACTTATGGCAAACTATGGGCACAACTTTATGATAAACGTGATGACTTCAACTTTTCTACCGTCAACTTCCATTATTTATGTTGCAATATACCTTATCATCTGCATATAGGTGAATTCAAAAATAATGATCAGCAAATTGAAATTTTTGAGAAAAAAAATCAACTGAACATAACATATTTTTCAATTATAACATCATATTGTATTTACATTCTAGTTAAAATTTCCGAAGTGAAAATAGAATTAACAAAAGCATAAAAAAAGTTTGAGAATGTTTATTAGTAGAACTCCATTTGAATAAAGAAAATATTACTACATTCTTAGACTTTCTGAAATACTTAATCAAATTAAAGGAAAATGTATTTTATTTTTATCCTTTAGACTCAGGGATGTAAACAATTAGAACTAAACCTCTATTGAGTTTCTTCTCAATTATATGAAAATAAAAATTGCTTTATGATTATTATTTAACATAAATCAAACCTGGTTTGAAAAGTTTTAAAAGGAAAGAAATATGATATAAATATAGCTCTTTTGTGAGGTCGATCCTTAGATATGTCGACCGAGCACGAAATGCAAATAGAGAAATATCGACTTCACAGAAAAACTTATGGACTGAACACCGTGCTTAGGGGATGTGCTTTTCTGTGAAGTCGATATATCTGTGGATTGAACGAATAAAAGGCCTATACATTTGTTATATTATTTTCTTTGTAACAAAAAAGATACAAACAAATTAGTTATTAGAATTTGCAAGTTTTAAAGAATTTTCACCGTTATAAACACATCTTTGGATTATTTTAGTAACTCAAGTCATTGTAAAATATAATTTTGCAAATTATATGAAGCAAATCAATCAGATTTATTGAATTACACAGTAAAAATAATATGAAGCACTAATTTTCCCAAAAATACTTTATATGAGTTTAGTCAATTCTTAAAATCTAAACCAAAAACAAAGAAGTTTGTAAAATATTTTTTTAAAATTAGTATACTTGATATGTACACCTGTATGTGATCCTATTTTACCTTATTTTGTTGCACTTGTATGATTTTTTATTAAATATTGTTTTAACACACAATATCTCTTTCAAAAAAATTTCTAAAGCAGTTCGTCATTGTTATTTTTACATCTTTAGGGAAATGTTTTCATATTTTCTAGACTTAAACATATGCTTATTTGCTTTTACATGTCAAAAATATATTTTAAGTCATGAAAACTATTCTGTAAATTGAGTTAAAACATCCAAAAATATCTGTAATTTGTTGATATAGACTTATGCTTGCTACTACGAATAGTATTAAGCGCTTTCTGCAATTTATTTTTAGTAAAGAGAGAGATGAAGTTCATTGATTATTATAAAACAGTTTTGTTGCACTCCTGACTGCAATGAGATTTAAGATTAAAGCCACAGAACACAAAAATTCATTAAGTTTTGGCAATATTAAGTTGTAATGAATTGTGCGTTATTTATTGTCCAATACTCCATGGTTAAAAACATAAAATTGTTTAAACTTGGCTTTCTATGACAAATTATTCCCTAGTAATGTCATGAAACTAGCTTAAAATTCAGTAAGAATTTTAAGAGAAAAGTATATTTTATAGGACAACTTACGAAATGTGCAAATACTGTAGCAACTGACTTTATAAACAATTCTCTATCTCTGGAATATATGAGCTTTTTTAAATCTTCTTAAAAACGATGATACGCTTGTCAATTCAATTCAAAATGTCCTTCATTTTATTCGAAAGATCATACTCATTTTACATATACCTGTGGTGATCATTTTAGTCAATGGGCCTTTTGATTTAATTCTTAATCTTTTAACCAAAAAGAAAAATACATGTTTATCCCTACCAACATCTGTAAGGGATCATTATTCTACGGGGGTCATTTTTCTTGACGTAGGGTATGCAGACTTTAAGGGTGATGCCACTTTTTCTACAAGCAAAAGAGTCACTTTTCGACGTCGAATAATGACCGAGGGTCATTTTTAGACGTCGAAAAACGACCCCCCCCCCGGTCATTATTCTACGGGGGTCATTATTCGTCTTTACACTAGCAGTACTACAAAGTATATGTAATTAAAACAGTTTTCAATAAAAGTGGATAATTTGGATTGTTTTATATTTTTGAACACACTGTAAACATCTTTCTGTAGCTATAACTTTTAAGAGGACTGTCACAAAAAAGGACAAAATTTTAACATAAATATGGATGAAGGAACTCTCCTAAAAACAATAAACTACAAGCTCGTGGATTCAAGTTGATATTATACACTCTCAGGTGACAATGTCAGTGGCTTCCTTTTGTGATGCCAAAGAACAAAAATACATATTAAGGGAATTTGTTACATGTAGGTCTAGCTGACTT